GACAGGCAGGATAACCAGCTGTGGAGTGACCATCCACTTGCTGAAGGTTGTCTCAGAGGTAGTTGCCAATTTCTATGGCAATAGAGGCACACAATATATGAGTCTTCCTGGTGTGAAACCTGGAGATAAAATTTTGGGGATCATCTCCAAGGACTCTTGGGAGGAAGATGAAGAGGAAGCACTGAGTGAAGGCTCCATTTTACAGCTCCTTCATGCCAAGGGGGTTTGGGGTGTTTCATGGTGTTTAGACAAGAAGCCTGTGCTGGGTCCCAATGTAGAGAATGGGATTCCTCCAGGCGTATATTGCCCATATTGCAACTCATGACAATCGGTATAGTGTGCAACTCACTAGCTATGACTTTCCTGTGAAACACGCCAGAGGCGCAATGCATTCCCGCGCACGCGCTTAGCGCGCTCTTCCCGTGCTCAATCACACTTTGTCGTGCAGCATCCTGGAGCATCCATCCATTGTCCAACCAGTCCCCTGGTGTGTCCCTTTTCATTTATTCTCATATTTAGCATTATATGACACTATATTTCATCATGGACCCTTTACCCACCTCACCTACATACATAGAGCGCTCCCTGTTCGCTTCCGAGCCCTGGGAGTGCGCCTAGGCACAGCTTACCTGTTGCCTAGCAAGTTTTCATAAACCAACCACCACCATCCAGTAGTCATCTAGCAATTAGAATCCATCATGAGTTAGCATCTATCAGAGTCATTGCCCTAGTCCTCAGCTCAGTCTATTATCACCAGTCATCACTCAGTAGTCTTAGTTCACGCCTTCACACCTTTCACCAGTCTTTTACATGTTCACACACTGTGTGCACCTTATTCCCACGCTTCGTGCTCCTACGCGCTCGACATTCCCGCACACGCGCTTTCAGTGTGCTTCACCAGAGTTGATCTGGCATCACCCAGTGGATCTTGCTTTCTTTGCTTCCCTTAAGGGTCGAACATATCACCTGGCGCACTTCAACCAACACTTAAAGAGTCAGTAGGACTTCCTCTCACCACCAGAGTGAGAGCCCCTTCTTTCTTTCTTTTGCTCTGCAGCCCAGCAGAGTTGTTGAACCTTCACTGACTCCCCTGCCCCCCCAATGTCTGTGGTCCATCAACCTCAGTTCATCAACAATACCATGTATATCCACTCTTGGTGGTGTGTGTGGAGGTTGCAAGTGTTACCATATGCTATACAAATCATGTACCAGAAGGACAACCTGGAAATGAAGATGAAGAACCACAAACCATGCTATATTTCCTGGTTCAAACAAGTTGTTTCCATACTGCCAGCAGAGAAGATTAAGACTGAATTGAAGGCATTGGCTAAGGGGAAGGGGAAGGGACAACATTCTCCATCACCATCTGTCACAGCTTCAATTTCACATATACCATGGATCATTGACAATGACCAGAAGGGTCACAAGACAAATCATCACTTCATCATGCAGTCATGTTTGGAGCTACTTATACTCCATCAGCACTCCTATCATTTACTGGTTTTCCAGTCTCTTAGAGTTACTCTGCATCCTGAGGGACCTTTTGGAGTGCAAGTGTTTGCAACCTATCTGAAGATAGTAATACTGATGCCGATGTTTCTCAGTGCACAAGCAAGCTTGTAGTGTCTCAGCAAATTCTGGCAAGGGATTCTATTTTATTCTCCATCATGACATGAGCCCATGGAACTTTATGATAGTATCTCAAAGGCATTCAGATTGGCCTGTGGAAAGGAAATGGGTATCCAAAGAACTTCGAAATATCTGGGACTGTACTCCAGGGCAACTCCATAACCCAATCTGTTGAGGGTTGCTGATCAACTGGGGTTTTGCTGCACTCAAAATTTCAGGACCCAAGGAGTTTGTTGACTTGACCCATGAAGATATTGAAGTTTTTGAACCCATAAAATGGGAAGTGTGACCACAAGAGGTTGTTGACAAGGGTGAAGAAGATAATATGTGTCACTATCTCCACCCTACACCTGGCATGCCCACTAACACTTCTCTTGCTACCTACACCATTCCTGCCCTATGTGAATGTGTGGATGGCACCCTTACATGTCTGAACACTCAGATGTTCATTCATGGTGTGATGCATGGGAACCCTTCCCTGAACTGGGTAAATAAAACTCTGAGAAAGAAAGATGGTCAACTTTCACAGAGCTGAGATATGTGAGAGGGTGGATGTGGTCCAGAATCCAAGAGGAGGTAAAGTCCAGATGTCTTGCTGGATGGAATGTGTATAGGGTGGACAGGATAGGGGTGTATGGATCTGGCTAGTAGTGAAGATCTGGAGGTCCAGAGCTCAGGGGTAATTCTGTAGTAGAGCTAATCCTGCTGAAATATGGAGCATACAGTGGAAGGAGATCTGGGAATGAGTCAGATATTGGGTCTGGATGTAAGCTCAGAAGGCGTGGGATTATCATGGGATCTAGGTCTGGCATATGGGATATGACACCATCAGATACAACCTGGTCTTTGGCTCTAGTAATGTCTTACTGGGTATGAGTGATGTTAGATCCTCAGTTCTCCCAATCTTTGGTGCAGGATTCTTATGGATGTGTCAATTGGGTGACCTACAACTATCCAGCCCCCCAGGCTACTGATCTCCTGGACAGTCCAACACTTTGCAGCTTTGTCTTTTGTGGACAATCTGGTCATCTGGTTATAAAGCAAATGGGCTTTGTTCCAGTGAGACTTCATGAAAGGGTTTGGATGTTGAAAACTGGTGGCATTTCTGGACTGATCCTGGTAACCAATAAATTGTTATTTTGGCTCAGAATCTGACACAGAGGAATGGCTGTGGAGTTCATGAAGTTTGAACAATTTCAAGATACATTGAGCTCACTAAACCCTGACTTCCTGTGGGCATTTCAATAATATCACACTATCTGGGGTGGCCTAGACCTTATGGTGGATCCAAGGCAAGTGGTTAGCCCAAGTCAAAACCTGCAACAGGCTGAGCCATGCTGAGCCACAAGAATACAGAGGGAAGCTATGCTGAGCCATGCTTAGACATACTTTGGTTCATTTTTCCAGGTCACATCATGTAAACAAATTAGCTATGACCCAGAAAGGCAACATTATTGACAACAACACTTACTTGTCTTGTCATTCACCATATTTGCTGTGTCTGGGCTATAAAGTATGAGAAGCATGCAAAGCAACTCTGCTGTTCATGCTTTCTGTATCTTGCAGTCTTTGGCCCCATTCATTGATGCATCTGAAATCTTACTATTGCAACTGTACCAGGAAGTGCGGAGAAGTCCACACGGAAGTCACTCAGGGTGTTAAGAACCATGCTCAAGGGAGAGAGAGACTGACTCAGAGGGGCTTGGCCTCAGCTCATATGCTGTGCCCCTTACCCAAGTATGTGCCCTTCATTTCAGAGGAAGTCTGATGATGGTCTGACAAAGTCCAGAGGACTTCTGGAGGCTGGCTACTCTGGTGGAGTGCTAGAGGACTTCCAGAGGAGTGTGGGAAATGTCTGGAGGAGCACAGGAAAGTTCCCACTGCAAGGTAATACTTCTACAGGAAACAGGATGAAAGGGTAGGAGGACAGGAGGACAGGAGGACAGGAGGACAGGAGGACAGGAGGACAGAAGGTCTGGAGGTCTGGAGGTACACAGGACAGGACATGAAGGTATGGAGGACAGGATGTCTGAGGGTTAGGAGGACAGGACATCCGGAGGTACAGAAGGAATAGGGCCTACATCATACAGAGTCCAATATAGAAACAAACAGAGGTAGACTACCTTAAGGTAGAGTCAGAGAGACAGGAAGTGGACTGAAGTCCAGAGAGAGGGTAAGTGCTGGAAAGGCAAGACTCCAGCCTAGGGAAGCAATCCCTAGACTTGGGACAGAGACATAGGGGACAAATCCAAAGGTCCAGAATTCCAGCCTAGGGAATCCATCCCTAGGCCTTATTGAAAAGGACAAACTCAGATAGACTGAAGTCCGGAAGAATGGGCAAGTAGAACAGGATCTAAGATGATATTCAGACTGAGGACTCTACTGGAGTTGTACAGGGGTTATATACTAGAAGATATCTGAGAGGATCAGTAAGCAATGGAGTAAGGCTATGTATGAGCATGCGGAAACATATTAGTAAGTAAGATGGAACATAAGTAAATGAACTCGGAGATGAAACTAATACAAGGATCAATCAGCAAGATGGAAACAGAGATAACCGAGAACTGGAAAGGTGAAGATGCCTAAATGGGGATAGGCGCAGGATCTCGAACAGAGGGTGGGGATAGGTCCAGAGATAGTAACAGTTAATATCCAGAGATCTGGGGATCCAGAAGGCAAGGTGGAAATAGGACTGAGATATGTGAGGTGGTGGATGTAGTCTGGAATCCGAGAGGAGGTAAAGTCTGGATGTCTTGCTGGACAGAATGTGCATATGGTGGACAGGATAGGGATGTACAGATCAGGCTAGTAGTGAGGATCTGGAGGTCTGGAGCTCAGGGGTAATTCCATAGCAGAGCTAATCCTGCTGAGGTGTGGAGCTACTACATTGAACTCATGGTAAAGTCAAGACACCTCACAAACAGTTTGTCTCTGTCCCCATTGGCCCCCAGCTACAAGCCTCATATCATGATCCACAGAGTGTGCAAGAGATGTCTTACCACAATGAGCGCACCCAGCAAATTGCTGAGGAGCTTGAATGTGAACACAGACACAAGCAGTCCAGGCGTGATTTCATTGACGGGACTGACTACCCCAAGGTGGTTGCAGCAGGCAAGATCACAAATGAGGACATCATTCTCATAATGTCCATTGATGGTGCTCAACTGTACAAATCAAAACCATCCAACTGCTGGATGTTGATATGGGTTGTATTTGACTGTTCCCCAGAGACAAGGTACAAAAAGAAGTACGTCCTACCTGGTGTCATTATTCCTGGACCTCGCAAACCCAAAAACCTCAACTCCTTCCTGTTCCCTGGTTTCCACCACCTCGCAGCACTTCAAAAAGAAGGACTCACAGCGTGGGATGCAATGTGCAGCATCACATTTGTTTCCCATCCTTTCCTTGCACTGGGAACTGCTGATGGCCCTGGGCTCGCATACCTCAATGGCCTCATCAGCCACCATGGGAAGAATGGCTGTCAGTTGTACTGTGGTGTTAGAGGATGCCACAAAGCTGGGTGCCCACACTACTACCCTGCACATATGAGGCCCCCAGACTATAATGTTGAAGGTTGCAATCATCCTGATGTGGATGTCAAGAACCTCCCTATATGTTCTTCAGATATCTACTGGAGAAACTTAATATATGTCCTCCCGTCACCTAATGAAGCACAGTACAAGAAACAACACTTGGAAACAGGTATCTCAAAACCAAGCATATTTCTTGGTTTCTCATCTGCTTGTACCTTTGGTATTCCCAAATGCTTCAGATCAGATATTATGCACCTCATTTCCCTCAACATTCCCAACCTTTTTATCCCTCTGTGGTGTGGCACATTCAAATGTGATGCTGACGATGACAAGTCCATATGGACCTGGGCAGTTCTTACTGGAAATGTTTGGAAGGATTTTGGCAAAGCTGTCGCTGCAACAATGCCACATCTCCCAGGTTTTTTTGATCGCCCCCCTCATAATCCAGCTGAAAAAATCAACAGTGGCTACAAGGCATGGGAGTTCACCATACTTCTCTATGGGATAGGTCCACTGGTACTTCACAATGTCCTCCCACTTCCCTACTGGCAACATTTCATCTGTGCCATTCGCATAATTTCACAGTACAACATCACATGTGAGGAACTTGAGGTTGCTGCTAGGTTATTCATTGAATTCATTGAGGAATTTGAGCAGCTCTATTACCAGTGCAAGCTTGAATGGATTCACTTCATATGGCAAAGTATTCACACCCTGGGACATTATGCAAATGAAGTTGTAACCAAGGGACCCCTTATATGTGCTTTGCAGTTGACTATGAAGTGCACTATTGGGAACCTTGTTGGGGAGATCTGTCAGCCATCAAATCCATATGCTAACCTCACACAGTGTGCCATTTGTTGAGCTCAGCACAATGCTTTGATGGTTATGATCCCGACTCTTGATCCTGATTGTGGCAAACTGTCATATCCCATATGCCAGACATAGATCCCATCATATTCCCACGCTGTCCGGACCTGTTTCCGGACCCCATATCTGACTCATTCCTGGATCCCCTATCCTGTCCACCCTATGCACATTCTGTCCAGCAAGACATCTGGACTTTACCTCCTCTCAGATTCTGGACTACATCCACCACCTCACATATCTCAGTCCTGTTTCCGCCCTGCCTTCCAGATCCCCAGATCTCCGGACCTCCGGATATTAACTGTACTATCTCCGGACCATTCCCACCCTCTGTCCGAGATCCTGCGCCTATCCCCATTTAGGCATCTCCACCTTTCCGGTTCTTGGTTATCTCTGTTTCTGTCTTGCTGATTGATCCTTGTACTAGTTTCATCTCCAAGTTCATTTACTTATGTTCTGTCTTACTTACAAATGTGTTTCCACATGCTCATACATAGTGTTAAGAACCATGCTCAAAGGGGAGAGAGACTGACTCAGAGGGGCTTGGCCTCAGCTCATATGCTGTGCCCCTTACCCGAGTATGTGCCCTGCATTTCAGAGGAAGTCCAATGATGGTCCAACAAAGTCCAGAGGACTTCCGGAGGCTGGCTACTCTGGTGGAGAGTGTGGGAGGACTTCCGGAGGAGTGTGGGAAATGTCCAGAGGAGCGCGGGAGAGTTCCGGAGGAATGCAGGAAATGCTCAGGAGAGTTCCCGCTGCAAGGTAATACTTCTACATGAAATCAGGATGGAAGGATAGGAGGTCTGGAGGACAGGAGGACAAGATGTCCGGAGGTCCAGAGTATGGAGGACAGGAGGTCCGGAGGTATGGAGGATGGAACGTCTGAAGGTACGGAGGGCGGAACATCTGAAGGACAGGATGCCCAGAGGTATGAGGGACAGGACGTCCAGAGGTACAGAAGACAGGAGGTCTGGAGGTCCAGAAGGAATAGGGGCTACATTGGATGAAGTCCAATGCAGAAGCAAACAGAGGTAGACTACCCTAAGGGAGAGTCGGAGGGACAGGAAGTGGACCTAAGTCCAGAAAGAGGGTAAGTGCCAGAAAGGCAAGACTCTAGCCTAGGGAAACAATCCCTAGACTTGGGACAGAGACATAGGGGACAAATCCAAAGGTCCAGAATTCTGGCCTAGGGAGTCCATCCCTAGGCCTTATGGAAAAGGACGAGACTCAGACAGACTGAAGTCCGGAAGATGATTGGCAAGTAGAACAAGATCTAAGATGATATTCAGACTGAGGACTCTACTGTAGTTGTACAGGGGTTATATACTAGAGGCTATCTGAGAGGATCAGTAAGCAAAGGAGTAAGGCTATGTATGAGCATGCGGAAACACATTGGTAAGTAAGACAGAACATAAGTAAATGAACTTGGAGATGAAACTAGTACAAGGATCAATCAGCAAGACAGAAACAGAGATAACCAAGAACTGGAAAGGTGGAGATGCCTAAATGGGGATAGGTGCAGGATCTCAGATAGAGGGCAGGAATAGGTCCGGAGATAGTAACAGTTAATATCCGGAGGTCCGGAGATCTGGGGATCTGGAAGGCAGGGCGGAAACAGGACTGAGATATGTGAGGTGGTGGATGTAGTCCAGAATCTGAGAGGAGGTAAAGTCCAGATGTCTTGCTGGACGGAATGTGCATAGGGTGGACAGGATAGGGGATTCAGGAATGAGTTGGATATGGGGTCTGGAAACAGGTCCGGAAAGCGTGGGAATATGATGGGATCTATGTCTGGCATACAGGATATGACACATAGCCTTACTCCTTTGCTTACTGATCCTCTCAGATAGCCTCTAGTATATAACCCCTGTACAACTACAGTAGAGTCCTCAGTCTGAATATCATCTTAGATCCTGTTCCACTTGCCAATTATCTTCTGGACTTCAGTCCATCTGAGTTTGTCCTTTTCCATAAGGCCTAGGGATGGATTCCCTAGGCTGGAATTCCAGACCTTCGGATTTGTCCCCTATGTCTCTGTCCCAAGTCTAGGGATTGCTTCCCTAGGCTGGAGTCTTGCCTTTCTGGCACTTACCCTCTTTCCGGACTTAGGTCCACTTCCTGTCCCTCCAACTCTACCTTAGGGTAGTCTACCTCTGTTTGCTTCTGCATTGGACTTCATCCAATGTAGCCCCTATTCCTTCCGGACCTCCGGACCTCCTGTCTTCTGTACCTCTGGACGTCCTGTCCCTCATACCTCTGGGCATCCTGTCCTTCGGACATTCCGTCCTCCATACCTCTGGACCTCCTGTCCTCCATACCTCCAGACCTCCTGTCCTCCATACTCCGGACCTCCAGACATCCTGTCCTTCCATCCTGTTTTCCTGTAGAAGTATTACCTCGCAGCAGGAACTCTCCTGAGCATTTCCTGCATTCCTCCGGAACTCTCCTGCACTCCTCTGGAAGTCCTCCCGCACTCTCCACCAGAGTAGCCAGCCTCCAGAAGTCCTCCAGACTTTGTTGGACATCATCAGACTTCCTCTGAAATGAAGGGCACACACTCGGGTAAGGGGCACAGCGTACGAGCTGAGGCCAAGCCCCTCTGAGTCAGTCTCTCTCTCCTTTGAGCATGGTTCTTAACACAAACCATTGTATCCAAGATGGTCTAAGGACCTTGGAAATGGGTATGCCTCACTGAAGCCACAAGAACGCTCCTGCCATGCCACCACCTTCACTGAGGGCATCATAATCAAAGCCTTTATTGATGCACACTACCCATATTCCCCTGAATACATCTTCTTTGATTTGCATCAGTGCTTCTGAGTGTGTTGTTGGGCCCATCTCCAACTTCCTAATAGACAAACATGTGGCTCAGTTTTTTCTCTGAGAGAAACCTGACAAAATGCTCAATGTGCATGCAATGTAAAGGCATGTATGTGACTTGATTTTATCTGACAATCTTACTAATATTTCATACAGCTCTCTATCAAAGGAGGATTGTACTTTGCTGAGGTACTTTTTTTCTTTGAGCTTAGATCAGACCACAATACACAAATGCTCAAACCTCTCACTCTTGTTTCTCTGTACTCCACTCCAGACCGGACCCTTTTGCAAGAGTTGAACGACACATTTTACACCTGCAAGCATCAAGGGGAAGCAGGGCTAAGGGTAGTTCAGGTGACAACTTTCTTGTCTGTTGTGTCAATGATTCCACACATGCTAGCAGGAGAGGAAAGATTTTGTATGTTTGAGAAGCCTGGGATGGATCTTGCAAATCTAGGAGGGATCCTTTGGGATGGGGGTGACAAGGATAATCAACCTACCTAGTTTGCACGCATCAATCAATGTTTGTTCAGTGGCACAAGAAAGTTGTATGATTCCATCAGAAAAAAACAAAGTGACTATGCTATGTATCCAATAGTACCTGTAGCTCTTCTTTCATCTTTTGTACAGCTTGAAAACTTTTATCTGTTCCAGAACAGTCATACCATCTTGCATCTTCCTCCTTTGTGAAATATTTCCAGTTTGCTCTACACAACAATGAGCACACCACACAACGATGGCCCATACCAAACACATTTCCCAATTCACCTGCATGATTTGAACCACTACCAGCACAATCCACACCATCATTTTCGCGATTTATGCCATCACCACCACCAGCAAAGGCCCTATGAGTTCTCTGAGTCACTTCTCCCATCTCCAGAGTCAATACACCTCACATTACATGAAAATGACCTGAGGGAACATTTCTCTCATAGAGATAGATCTGTGTCTCATGAGTTTGATAGTTATTATCCAAGTGTGTGTGTTTCTATTGATTTACATATTTAATGGTACCCCTAACTAGGACCCCAGGATACTACATCTCACAGTGGAAAATCATTCACAGAAAGCTCATCTTCATTATTGTGTCATCCTCCTGGCTTCCAGTCCAACTTTGTGCATGCATATAGCCAGTGAGGTAGTGCATATATGCATGCTAACTCCAGCGAAAATGAGGCATCTATGCTGAAGAAGGAGAATCACGCTCTAGAGCAGAAGATTATCAAGCTTGAGCAGCAAGTCATATCTCTTGAGGGCAAACTTGAGATATCAAGGTGATTGTTTTTCTTTCACATTGTCACATCCAAAACTGATTATACTCTTCTCTAGTTCTAGATACAAGCAACTCCTGGAATGCATTGGCTCTCTTGGCATCAGCACACCCACGGACCCCTTTACTGAAATGTTGAAGATGGTGCATGAGGCCAACATACAGATCCCAGTACATTGTGAAGATGACTATGATGGTGTGTACTACTGGTTCAAGAGTGACTGGACAAAGGAATATATGGGTGGTCATGGTGTCCTCAAAGTCAAGCGCCCTGATGGCACTGGCTCCACATCCTATCTTGTCAATGAAGATGGTTTTGTCATGTTAGAGGCCATCCAGCAGAAAATGTGTGAGACTCTCCACACACTCTGGTTTACATTGCTCAGATTTTGGCATGCACCTACCTCATGGACAAAGATCAACATACTGGCCCTTGAATTTGTTCGACTTTTGATGCGGAAGGCATTTGTGCACTTTCACTTGTGCAATTCTGACTGGAAGACCAATCAATTTGCTATCCGACATTACCCACAATGGATACATAGGCCAAAGGAGCTGGGTAATACTGGCACACAGGAGAAGGTCATCAAACAGGAGAGCTCTCACAAAATGTTAGTATGCACAGCATCTGCAAAATCAAAGCAACTGCAATCCATCACCATATCACCATCCACAACACATCCAAAGAAGAAGGAGGACCATGAGACATCCTACAATAACAATAGACTACTGGCACCATCGCAGTCTACTCTTGCCAGCACTGTGCTATGTGCTATCAAGGTGATGTTGAATTATTTGTATTATTTAAATGGCAACTAATTGTTTCTAGATTGTCAACCCACTGACAGGTTTGTTTAAAACAAAGTTGGAGACTCCATCTGGCATTATCCCTACTGGCGTGATGCCACCTGCCACTGCTTTCTCCTCAACAAATGACCTCATTGCACATATGGCAACTGTGAGTATGAATGACATCAATGATGTTGCTGTGCCTCTGACTATTGAGGCCAAACACTTGTTTATCCAGCTTCTATCAAATTCTATTCTGGCTACAAAGGATACCACTACCCATACTACTCCAAATGCTGCAGTTGCCATCACTGCTGACTTCGATGCGGATTCCACAAAGGCTACCAAGAAGAACTTCAAGAAAAACCCAAATGCAACCAAGGAGACAAATGGTTGAGCAACTGCAAAGTAAATTTTTTTTTAAATAAACAATAGGCTATACTACAGTGACTTGCAAAACCATTACAATGTCTAGTACTTTTTCAGTATACACAATATAGCACCTATGCATGTGGGAATCATGCTTAGTGTTGCTGGGGGCATGTGAACTAAAAATGCTTGGCTACAGACTGACACTGGGATCACATGATCTGGCCAAGGGGATGTGAAGATATGCCTATTTCAAGACAGAGATGCCATTGTAACAGTTTTGCAGCTGTTGATATAGATGGTGGGATCTCAGTCAAATCAGAGGATGGTTACTGTTATTTGCTTATACAAATAGAAATATACATAAAAATATTATGTCTGAGTTTGAAATTGCTCCCATGCATCTTTATTCCCAACCATTGCTACTATTTCCTTAGGGGGATGCTCATACTCTGCAAGTCTCCTTTTGACAAGGTCCCAGAGATATTCCAATGGGTTAAGGTCAGAAAATTGTGCAGACCACACCATAGTCCTAAATTCCTGCCCATCTAGTCACTTCTTGACTTTTTTGCAGGTATGCTTAGGGTCATTGTCTTGCTGAAAGATGACATCAGAAGCATGAAGATAATAAAACTCCAGGAAATTCTGAAGTTTATCCTTCAAAATTTGAAGGTAAAGATCTCCATCCATTCTACCATCAATCTTAGCAGCATAGCTAACTTCTTCACAGGTCATACAGCCCCATATCACCACAGAATTTCCATTAAACTTGTCAGTTCCTTATACTAATCTGTCACTATGCCCCTCTCCTGACTTTTTCCAAGCCCATTTGCAACCATCTGACCCTAGGTAATTAATTTTGGTTTCATCAGACCATATGACCAACTTTCAGTCCTCCAAAGTCCAATTTTTGTGAGTATAGGCAAAGTCCAAGTGTGCTTTGCAATATTTGGCAGACAGTAGAGAGTGTTTGGACTTGACTACAGACCTCATCCCAGCTTTTCAGGTAGCAGCAAGTGGTACTTGGGTTTGGGGGCTAATTGACAATATTTGAAAAAGATTTGATCACTTGGATAGCAGTTTTTGCCTGCTGAGTGAAGATGAAACAAATAGGATGTCAAATATTAACTGAGGAAAGCTTGGTTGAATGACCACCAGTGAACTTTTGCAAGTAGGAACACTCTTTTTAATGAAGCTTGGAGATAGTAGTAGTGCTGACACCAGTTGTAGAGGCAATAGAGTGAATAGAATGACCAGCATTAAGCTGAAAGAGAATGGTATTCTTTTGAGTAGTAGAGAGAGATTCCATGGTGGTAATAATTAAGAATAAAGAAGCATGGGAGCAATTTCAAACTCAGACATAATATTTTTATGTATATTTCTATTTGTATAAGCAAATAACAGTAACCATCCTCTGATTTGACTGAGATCCCACCATCTATATTAATAGCTGCAAAACTGTTACAATGGCATCTCTGTCTTGAAATAGGCATATCTTCACATCCCCTTGGCCAAATCACATGATCCAAGTGTCAGTCTGTAGCCAAGGGTTTGTAGTCCACATGCCCCCAGCAACACTAAGCATGATTTCCATGTGCATAGATGCTATATTGTGTACACTGAAAAAGTACCAAACATTGTAATGGTTTTGCAAGTCACTGTATTCTTGTGGTTCTAATAGGAGTCTCTGTGCTATCGATTGGGTGGAGTCCAACATAGGTGGCACCAATGCTACATTCGAGAACTATTGGAGGAAACTTGACAAGGAGGAGAAGAAGAAATATCATGATAGGGTGGCACTCATCAAGACAGTGAGTGCATTGTGTATGAACTGCATTCCACTCTGACATCTGTCTACAGGCAAAAGCCTGTGCTGTCACCTCACCCATTGTCCATACCTTATGTCAGAGGCACTCCCTCTGTCTTAGCTTACCTTGAACATTTGGCTTAGCTCTTGTCGAGTCGTCTGTCATTAGAACTATATTAGTTCATAACAGAAGAGTGGTAGAAGTGATTAGAGCAACAGGAGAGAACACCAAGTACTAGAATTATAGAGATTCTGTTGGTCAAACTGAAAGTCAAAAAGTGTCTCAATGAGTCACCAAATTAAATTAATCATATTGTCATTTGATGACATAATTTCCCCACACTATAGGAATCAAACATAAAGCTTAGAAGCAGAGATTTCCTACACCTTCCTATGGCTTGGTTATATTCTCACACCCTGGCTCATAATAAAGCAATTACATGAACAGTCACAAATATTAAGACACTTTTTTGAGCCACTGTATATGTTTATGCTAATTTAATGAGTTTGAACCATCAGTTGCAGCCTTTGTGATTCATCAAAATGCATTCCTATGCAATAAGCCTGATTCCAGGCACTGCCTAGACCTGCACCTCATGTAAACTAACCCACCACCTGTGGACCTCAGACTGACTTCAGTGTGGGCCATCCCTGTACATGTGTGATGTTGGAAGCATACAGTACCTTGCATTTGGAGCCCCTAAGTATGGCTCCTGAGCTTCTTTTGAAGGCATCAGGCCCTTCCACTGACACAATGATCCAGTTATGGATCTGAGACACCCATGATGTTTTATTCATGGCAGGTTCATTGCCTTTCACCATCAATGTGCAAATATAAGTACCATGTCTTCAAGTCCTTAACAAATTTCCCTATAGGCTTTTATGCTGCCACTATTATGAGATCTGTGGGGTATATTCCCATTATGTTTGAGGCAGTCGGGTTCATTCCTGGTGCAGGTTGTAGTTGTCCAGACTTGGTACCTCTAAATTGATGGTTAGGCCCATCAGCTCTTAATCAGATTCAATTGTGGATCCAGGCCTGATCATAGGACAAAATTTTGACTGGTAGGGCCTGTGATTTCAATGATGTGTATGTGATATTGCCTTACAAAGATTGTGTAGACTGACTTTACTGCTAGTGGAATGTGAGACTGGCCTTGGACTGACCTGTCACATGTGGACCTTGGTCTGACACAATACATAGACTCTGACTGAGTTGCCACTTGCAAACATCAGATTGACTCATCAGCCTGATTTGCTGTATGA